TTTTTAAAATTTTTTTTTTTTTTTAATTTACATTGCCTTTCCTTTCAAAGAACAAGAAAAAAAAAGGTAGAAAAAAGCAAACCCCATGACACCAGGAACAGGGAGCAGATTCTGGGAATATCCTTACCTTTCTGCATACCTAGCCCTTGGATAGGGGTAAAAAAAAAGAAGTTAATAATAAGAGGCTTTTCAGCTCTGCTCTGGATTTTTTACCCTTTGTAGCCATTCCTGAAACAGTAGGGTGTGCAGAAGACATAAATTCAGAGTGCCTGACTCAGCCACTTGCTCTTTCTCACCACCGTTTGACTTTAGCATGTTGTTTGCAAAGAAGCTTGATCCTGGCTCCCACTGGAAGGGGTGGCTGTCCCTTACATCAAACTTCACCCTCTTTGTAGCCATGGTATAGATCTGAGATAGATACTGGATGCCCTGGTTCCAGCAAGCTACCTCTGAATCAGCTTTCTTGACACCTTCAGCAACACTAAATATATTGTCTTAAATATTTTTGTCCCAAAGGCAGAAGGTAGGCTTCCCACCTCCATCTCCTTTCTGCCAAATTCAGAATCAGGGTCGTGGTGATCACCAGGCTGCTGTGCATGCACAGCTGAAGTAGAGTAATAGCAAAAGGAGCAGAAAAAATTACATCAGAGAGGCCTGCTCCCACCTCCAACGAAGCCCTGTTCTTTCATCTTGATTAAAGATCCTGCTCAGGGTAATCTTGGACTTTATCATCTCCTGAGAGAATTTCTATAATCTGGGCTGACAGCAAAAGAAAGTGAGCACTCTCACACAGAGCCTCAGCTCCTTACCAAGCCAACTCTGTTCTCTGCCCTCTCCTAGCCCAAATCCATGGCAAATCTTGGGTTTGGTCTGTAAAGTGTTAGTGAATCATTTGTGAGTAGCATCAGCATTTTCACATCTTTTGGTTGTTTGAGGCTACTCTGTACAGACAGGGCACTGTTAGCTGAACAAGGCCAAAGACTCAGCTGGGAACTCTGTGACATAAAGCTTCCCTAACCAGAAGTTTCATTTCAGAATCAGTTGCCAGCAGAGGCAAGAGTGAAAAGTTTAATCAAGAGGTTAGAACCTGCAGAATAGCAAGATGTTCCCTGTGCACCCTAAACCCTTTCTAATTGATGAATTCTTTCAGACTTCCATATGCTTTGATTTCAGGTTCAAATTTTGCTGTTTTATTTCTTGGACAAAGGAGACAAGTGCTTCATTCATAATAAGGTTTATTGATGGGGCTGGGCTCAAAGTGTGCTTCTGTTGGAACGCAGATTATTGGGATCAGCCTGAGCTCCTTTTCCTATTATCCCTCTTCACATTTATCCTTCCTTGCATCACCTCTGTGGGCATGCTTGCCAATATGAGCTTAGTTTTCTGCTTTCCATTTGGCCCATGGATCCTTTTCCTCAAGCAGCTCCAGTCCCTAACTTGCTCTTCTCCAGCCTGTCATCTCCTACTACCTTCCAGTTGTACACATTGCACAACTTAATCATAGTAATATATTGTGTGCATGTGCATGCTTTTCCCTCCTCTGGCTATTTCCAAGATATCTGTGAGTTGAAGAACAGCATGGAAGACTGAATTTGTTGGTAGACCACACAAAAACATTTGACAGAAAGAAGACATCTTTCCTTTATTCAATTGGCAGGTTGTGATCTCTCTCAAAACAAGGTTTAATGGTAATTTCTTGCTAATCGAAGAAACTGTGGAGTTCTTAGACACATTAAAAGGTAAAAATTGTTAGGTCCCACTATTAGATAACAAGTCTCTGATCTCAAACAAAGAAACAGGACAGAAGTTGAGTATTGAGTTACTGGAAGTCACTTTGTTCTTCAGACAACATGTTTACTGTGGAACAATGCTGAAAAATTAGCAAAGACAGCTTTAAAAAACCCTCCACCATATTCTTCACTTGCTATTTTTTGAAATTAACATAGAATCATAAAGTAGCAAATATTAATTTATGATTCAGTAATTTATAAAATTATTTCCATAAATCCTTGGAACCACATTGAAATATCTGATGTTGCATACAAAACTAAAAAGCCAGAGGTAATAATGTATTTCCCTTTTAGTAGTGTTAGTGTAATATTTTGTGATTTGAAAAAAATGTATTTTATTAATCCACTCTCCAGAGCACCATATTTGGGATAACCTAAAGGGTTCATACTTCCATAAGGAGAATTTTCAGAAAGATTTTGAGATTTAAGTCCCTTCTGTACCCAGTGGAAACAAGGATATAAGAAGGAATCTGTGTTCCAGATTGCCAGCTTTGCTCCTGCATTTTGAACTAGATTTCACAGGCACTTAAGTCTTGTTATTAAATTTTTGCTTCCTCCTATGTATCTGTGCTGGAGTCAAGTCCTGAGGCACCTCTGTCTTTAAAGGGTGGAGTAGGTTAGTCTCTTCTTTCCAACCTATGTGGGAAAATCCAAATATTTTTATAGGTTAAATGAATTGCAACTGCTCTCTTCTTTATCCAGACTCCAAGTGGTGTTCTCTGAGGATGGAATATTGCAGCGTGGTGCAGAGGACACCACACCCTTTTCCTTTGAAACATAAGGGGAAGGAAAGACTTCTGCTCTTGTTTTCCTAAGCAGAAGAAACAGTGCTTGGAGTATAACTCAGAGATATGCCTTTTGACCGTAGAAAATACACCGCTTCTTTTTTTTCTCCTGTTTCCTTTTGCACACTTAGGTGCACTCAGCCTTTTGCATTTTGTAAATCTGTTTGGAGGTTTATATGCAGTATGTGTTGTATGTGGAAAGAAGAGGAGCCTCCTGGAGACTGTGGGGGCAGGTGCTTAAATTCTGGTGTGAATCTCAATGCTTTGCACTCACGATGAGAGTCACAGCCTCAACCTCTGAAATGAAAATTCAGTAGGTGTTTTGTGCTTATAGCATAAACAACACACATGGTTAGTCAAGATAAGCTCATACAGTTTTGAATATTGAATCTCAGCTGCACAAGAGGAACTGTTTCTGTGAGATTAGTTGCTTTCCCTGATCCAAGTTTCCACATTCCCTCTGCCATAAAAACCTTTGCCTCTTGTGCCGACGAATGAGATTAATCTTCCAAAACCTTTTGCATACTATCTGCAATGCTACATCATAAAATAAATAAATAAACCTACCACATAGTTCCCTGGTTTCAAACTTTGCAGATTCAGGGTTCACTAAGAAGTCATCTCTCTTTTTCCTTTAAAAGAAGACAACCATATAGAATAATAGAGTTCTCTGTCTAGCATACAAACCCATCTGGAAAGAATTTAGTCTGCAATAATTGTGGGCATTTGATTTAGCTTTAAATCCCTGTAGGTAATTCAAATGTAAATTTATTGGGGTGAGTTTATCCCCAAGCTGCCATTGGATCCAATGTTTTAGAGGTGAAATTGGCCCACTGTGCTAAAACTACAGCCTGCATTGTTTCTGTTGCATCAGGATATTATTATGTGCTGTAATATCTGCTGTTATAAGCAGACCCTTACTAGAAATAAAGTCAATAGAGACAATACAGACAATCACCTGTATTAAATTTATTTTTCAAACCTTGATAGACTAGTAATTCCTAGATTATGAATATGTTTATATACCAGTATCTAAATCACTCAAACAACACTGGTCTAATTTGTTATTCTGTTATGCTGTACTCATATGAAATAGCCCTTTTGGTCAAGTAAAATTCTGTGCATTTCACATTCTGCTTCAGAAGAAAGTCTAATGTTTCAAGAGGCATTCAGCACATAATGTAAACAATGCCATCTGTCTTTTTCTTTGGAAAATCTTCTTCAAGATAGCCCTGATATGCCTACTGTTTTCAATCACTTAAAAGGCAGTAATCCAATTATATCATCCTCTATGTAGGAACTGCCATTGCTTTCAGTCCACTTCCAATCCTGACACAAGTAAATCACTTTGATAAGATCCTCTTTTTATTTATTTTTTTCTGAGGAGACTAGCATAAGTAATGATGCCAGCGATAGACCAAGGACAAAATGACCATAATGGACTTTCTGTAGGAAGGGAAAACATGTGCCACTGTGATTTATCATGTTACTTGAAAAATATTTTTCCTTGGAATTTCTGGAACAGAAGCACTCTCTAAGCAAAGGGCATTAGCAAGTATGAATGGACAAATGGTAAATTCAGACAAAACATTCATCAAGTAGCAGATTTAAACAACTATTGCTACTTAGATTTCTTAAACAGGAACAGAAGGTCAAAGCCATTTTGGAAATGTGCCTAGGTCATTTTCATCTTTGGTATAATGCCACCTACTTACATGGAAATGCGCTTGGAATGTGTAAGGTTGGATCTTCCTTACAAACTACTAAGGCTTATCGTGCAGATATGCCTTCCTTCTATTTAAAAATGGTTTGGGTGACTTCAGTGATTTGTGCTACCAGCAAGGCAGGGGCCTGGCAGACACGTCTAACCTCCCAGAATAGACATGGCACGAGATCAGTAGTATCTGCAGACTTCCTGCTACAAACTGCCCTCCACCGTGATGCTGAGAGAGCATAGTCAGAGCTGAGTTCTCTCCGGACATACCTATCTTTGCCCCTGCTTTCAGAAAAAGGGGAAAGCAGCAAATGAGGTAGTCACGTGCAACGCAAATCTTGTTTGAAAGGAGCTGGACCACAGGTGTCTCTTTGAACCCAGGCTCATCACTCAGCACAAATAACTGCAGAGTTTGCATTTTCAAATTTATGAAGAGCGCTGGTCTGATATTCACTGTCTGAGACCACATCCAGGAAGCACAGTAGGAAGTTCACTCTGCTGAAGAAGCTGGTAAGCGGTGATCCACAATATTAAAAAATGCAGGCCAAATCTGGCATTTCCAATGTCATGCTATGAGGTAAGTCTTTTGTTAAGTAACTTTGGAGAGCCAAAAAAGCTGTGATCTGGACAGGAAAAGGCACTGTACTTATCTGAAAAAAATAGGATGCTGTTTAGGATGGTATTGATACATTCAATTGTTTCCTTTTACAGGGAAAGTGTGGAGAGCCTTATCCAAAAGCATTCCTATGCTCGATCCCCCATTCGGACCTATGGAGGAGAGGATGATCTTGGAGATGACAGCCAGGCAACACAAAGCAGAGGTAGGAAAACATGCTCATGATGTAAACTGTGGTGACTCAGTTATGCTGGAGAAAAGCAGGACCACGGGCAGTACCGTGGTACTCTAAAGAGTTTCTCTGGTGCATCTCTCTGCCATGAAGTCATATAATGAAGAAGAATACTTGCTATCTTTTGGCTCTTTGGGACATCTGATATGCCCACAGCACTGGTGTGGGTGGTTCAATTCAGGAGGCAATTCTAGAGATGACCATATAATCTTTGCCATCAAGAGAGAATTAGTTCTGCTTCCTCTTCAAGATATCTGCAAACCAGAAAACTTCATTACTGAGAACAACTTCATTGCTGAGAACAAGTTAACACTCTCCATCTCTTGGCAGGACTTACTAGCTGGGCTCCACACCACTTGTAAAGCACCATGTAGATGTGCCACTTGCTGCCCCTCCAGCCTTCTGTGAACAGAGGACTTAGTTCTAACCATCTTCAACCTACTTGTGGTTAACCTGCTTTGCTTCCTCAGGAAGAAAATTTGGTAGCTCCCTGAAAAATTGATGTTTAATTGTTATCTGTTAGTCTCTTAAAGGTGCTGTTCCTGCTGAAGCAATTAGCCCCAAATGCTTTATCAATTTGTCTGCATTAGCAGTAGCAAAAGTAGTAACAAGACAGACTTGATCTTTGCGGGGATACTTACTGGAGAAATTGCATCTGTCACAATTAACCACTGGAAATAGATCTCAAACCCTTCCTGTAGGATTGCTGACTGGCAAAAACTTGTCTTGCATTATAGTTTGCATGTTGACTTTGTGACCTGCCTGATATGCCACAGCCACTTGAGGTAAAGCAGTTCTATCTGTCTTCCGACTGGCAGTGCCCTTGTCTTGTCCTCTAACTTCATACAGTGCTGCTAAGATAACAGCATTCTTTCTAGTCATGAGCTCTTTGGACTTGTGCAGGGAAAACACACTTATTTTTAACCATGAGTTGCTCTTCAGCAAAATGTGATTAGGTGGGCTTGTTTTTACACATCCATTCCAAGTGCAGGTCCTTAGATTATGGAGTTTCTCAAGCAAGTTCACCTGCTATGATGCCATCCTTTCACACAGGTCTGGGGAATTACCTTGCTTCTTGTCAGCTTAGATCCCAGGCCAGCTATTGTTGAAGACAGTATTAAATTTTCCATTGCTGAAAGTGCTCAGAGTAAAGCACCTTCTCTTCAAGAATTAAATTTCTCTCTACTATGATGTCCTCCCTTGGGAGTGACAAAATGAACCAGGTGAACCTCAGTATGAGAGCTGGCTGTTAAACATCTTCAGAAGAGAGTCCTTAGAAAGGTGTCATGGGGGATATACTATTTTATGACAATTAATTTTCTGTGTAATAAAAGGGTACAGTTCTGCATTTGCTTGCAATATGGCAAATGAGTAAGTGAGGAAAATTGTGAATCATGGCAAAGAACTTTTTTCTAATCTGGGAGCCACATGCTACATGGGATGTGAGTGTTCTGGGCAACCAGAGACATGCACAGAAGGTAATCATACCTCTCTTACATATGAGTAACTGGTACTGCTTTTGCTCTCTCTTTAGGTCTAGTGTCCTTAAATAGGAAAATTCCTCCAAGATACAAGGAGAGAAACAATGTTCTTACTGAAATTCTATAGATATTTTCATTTCTGCCAATGAATTCTAAAATTACCTTGCATGCAAAACTGATGGGTGTTTCCCCACAAAAATGAGAGTTGAGAGCCAAATACATATGCATTGCTGGGTGGTGTGTGTTATAAACTCTTTGAGACCTTGATTGCCTCAGAAGTACTAATTCCCTTGGTGGTGGAAAAAGTGGTATGTGGAGTACTAACCTGCAATTAGAGACCAAATCAGCTGGAGCAGGAAAGGATACTTGAGGAAGTTCCTCGTGAAAATCATTGGATAGTTACTGTTGGAAGGGACTGATAAAGGTCATGTAGTGCAACCTCCCTTCAGTGAGTAGGGACTTCAACTAGAGCAGGGTGCTTCGAGCCCCATGCAACTTGACCTCTCATATTTACTGGGGTGGGACATCCGGCCCCTCTCTGGGCAGCCTGTGTTTCACCAGCCGGTGTTTCACCACCCTCACAGTAAAAAATTTCATTCCTATATCTAATCTAAACCTATCCACCTTTAGTTTAAAGCCCTTTCTTGTGACAGATGATGGTAAAAAATTTGTTCCCAGCTTTCTCATAGGCCTGCTCTAAGCACTGACAGGCTGCAATTAGGTGTCCCAAAAGTCTGCTCGTCTCAAGACTCCACAAGCCCAATTCTATAAGCCTTTCCTTATAGGAGAAATGTTCCAGCCCTACAATCATTTCACAGTCATTCATAAGAAAGAATCACATACCTTATTCTGCATAAAACAAAGAAATAAATATCAGTGATAGCCTTGGTAATGACCTAGGCACCCTCCCAGAGCATTCTCTGCTCAGCAAATTTCAGCCATCCAAAGATGGAAGCAGCTAACCTACAGTACAAGATGTCTAATTCCAAAGGAAGTAACAAATAGGAAATATATAAATTCAATGGAAACTCTTTAATGCATAATTTCTCTGTGCCTACATGCACAGACATCCATAGGGTTCATAGTAGCCACCTGGAAAGAGAGCCAAATGAAAACCTTCTGGGCAAATCCAGATTTGCACCCTGCTTTCCCTGTAGTGCAGCAATGCTCAGATACCCTCTGATTTGACAAGGGTTTTGCTGTGGTCCGTGAGTAATGTGTCATACTTAGAGTTTGGCTCTGGATCCTAATTTCCCAGCAGTTGGGATTTGGTTCAGCGGTAGGACCAGGATTTGGTTCAAGTTTATCTCCACTGCTAAATTGGCACAATTTATTTTTCCTGTTACTGGGCTGTTTTACTTGTTTCATTAAGCAGAGGAAAAATAATTCATGGCTTGAGAATATATCCCACAAGAGATTTATGAGTTTTTTTAAAAGCCCCAACAATATACACTTTTTATTTCTGGGGTGGTTTTTTTTGGTTATAGTTTGGTTTGAGTATGTGGCTATGATTGGTTACTTTACTTAATTCCAGTAAGTTTTCCTTGATGGATAGACATCTTCATATGTTTTCATTCTACAGTCTGGATGAACCTCCCTTCTTGAATTAGATTTATGAAATTAGCACCTGTTACAAAATTTGTTGTCTCCGAATATTTTGCAATACTGAATTGAAATTATATTTCATCAAATAGTCTTTCCAAGAAATTTATTTTCTAAAGTAAGAAAGCTGGTCAAGTAAGAAAATACATAAGAGACAAGAGGTAAATTATAGTTTAAAGAGGAATACAATGAGTTTATTTGTAGCATTTTGTTGTAGTTCCCATTTCTAGAAATCAGACATATGATGATGACCAGATGCACATAGGAACTACAGAGAGGAAGGACAACACAGTCATCAGATTATTTGAAAATGACCATGTGTAATTATCCAAACGGATTATTGTTTCCCCAAAATTTTACTGTCAACACAAGTAATTAGTTCTAATTTTAAGAAATAATTTTTCTTTTTTTTCAATGATTCTTCAATCTTCAGGAAACAGAAAGTATTTTAAAGAGTTGGAAGATTTGTGGAAATAGGTTTTGAAACTTTTCAAATTAAACAAACCTAAAACAAAATGACAAACAGAACACTTTCATTTGATCGAAAGTAGACAATTACCTTCAGAGCAGGTTCTGCACCTCTTACTATGAATTAGCACTGGTGTTGTTTATTAGAGATGGGAAAACAACAAATACTTTGACATTTATGTTTTTTGGATTTTTTTTCTCTGTATTATGGAAAGAATCATGTTGACTGGAAAGATGTAATGTTGACAGGTTTTACTGGGATTAAAAAAAAGGGGAAACTTGTAGAGCAAATTGCATTTTTCTGCATTTTCCCCACACTGAAATTTTGGGAAAAAACCCAAAACAACAGTTCTACTAAGGATCTGATGTAAAAATCTACAGGTATGTCTTCCAAACAGGGATGTAATACAGTGAACTTCCCTGTGAGAGAAGATATTTCAGTGTTTAGAGGCAGCATTACAAGGTGCTTCAGTGTTTAATATCTAAAATGTCCAATGCGCAAAGCTGATTTTACTGTTGAAACCACTGCAACCAGCTTCTGAAAATGGAAATTTGTCTAAGACAGCAACCAGCAAATAATATTTTAAAGACTGAAGTATGTAGGAAGTATTTCCAATGACAACTGGTCATTGAAACCAGGCTTGCTGTGAAGGACTCATTTTCTCTCTTTTCCCTACTTTACCAGCTTCGTGTGCCAATGTTAGGTATTCTTTCTCTTTGCTTGCAGGGTCAGCCTTTACAACATCTGATAACCTGTCCCTCAGTTCCTGGGTTTCCTCTTCAACCAGTTTCCCAGGATTTCAGCATCCACAGTCTTTGAGTGCCCTGGGTACCAGCACTGCCTCCATAGCTACACCCATTCCTCACCCGATCCAAGGATCTCTGCCTCCGTACAGCCGCCTGGGAATGCCTCTCACACCCTCTGCTATTGCCAGCTCCATGCAAGGCAGCGGCCCCACTTTCCCATCCTTCCACATGCCAAGGTACCACCATTATTTTCAGCAGGGTCCTTATGCAGCTATCCAAGGACTGCGTCACTCCTCCGCAGTGATGACGCCGTTTGTATGAGTGACGTGCGGCAAGAGGAACACGAGATTTTAAATGTGCAAGTTTCCTATGACAAAATACAAGGGACCTTCCTGAAAGGCCTGTGGCAGGAGTGCTGAACTCATGACAAACCAGCTAAGAAAATGCATTGTGGATACAGATTCCTCTCTTGAGGGATCACAAGAAGAGAGCACGCAGCTTGGAGCTGCTGACAGATCTATGTGTAACACAGCCAAAATGGATCCCAAAGTCCCCAGGATCTTTGGTGGCGTGCAGCTTGTTACAAAGGTGCATTATACCTAGTGGAAAGAGATTATCTTTAAGCAGCAGTGTACAAACTAATTGTCTATAGGTCTTTTTTCATATGCTAGGTGAATTCTAAAAAAGGCAATACTCTTACTCATCTTCATCTCTTCTTGTGACTGACGAGCATCTAAACAGAAAAATGTATTGCTATAACTTTGAGCATGTTTTAGGCTATCTCAGCATACATTTGCTGAAAACAGGATAAAGTGGAGAAGACCACTGTCCTTTTTAAGACTGGCATATATTCACCAAAACCAGTATTTCTTAGTTGCTAATATAATCACAAAGAGAATGTTATTAACAAGTCTTTCTTTCTTTCTGTGTTTCTTTCACAAAACACTTATTGGTTCCAAAACAAGAACTGTGTTACAGGACTGTAGTAGTAATAATGTATTCTGTCATTCAGTCTAAAAGGAAGTTTGTCCAATATCTGAGGAGGAACAATTTAACTGTCAGTTAAGATATAATGAAGAAAAATTTTGATTTGGAAAAATCTGTTACTTAAACTTAGAAACCACAGATTTCCAATTTTAAAGCAGTGTTTGTTTACTGCTGTGTGTGCCACTGAAGACCTGTTTCCAGCTGTACATGTGTACCAAGTTAACCCACTTTCAGGCTAGATCAGTCTATAGACTCTGTGGATCAAACTATAATTAATGGACCGGTATAAGTGGCATTGGAGTATCTTTCCACTTGTTCTGATTTTGTTGGGTTTGGTCGTGGCTGTTATTATACAAGGCATCACCTTGGCCAGGAAAATGAGGGTTGAACTACCAGTTTTTTCATGTATCACTAGAATGGTGGAGTTACCTTGGGAAAATATCAGTACAGAGCTTCACATGAAAGTTTTTTTAAATTCATGCCTGACTTTTTTTCAGTTAGTATTTGTGGCTCTCGTTCAAAGTACTGTCCCCTTTTTCTAGTATGTTGTGTCTGATGCCATGGAGGAGCTATAGAGGCATAAGAAAATAATCACCTTGTCTGCAGAGAGCTAGCAGGAATCTTTTGCAATACTGGAAAGAATAATAGTGTGATGTTGGTTTTCTGTGTGGCATGAGCTGGTATTCCAACTGTAAATAATAAGTTGACACAGAGTTTCTGTGTGAGTTGCATCCAAGCTGTAGATGATAATACATCTACTGACAAAAGACAAGTAGCATATATAATCTCATATATTACAGATCTCTGTAGAGCTGGAACATAAAACAGACATATTGTCCTCTGCTTTTCACCATTCTGGACTGGTGTCATATGGTAAAAAGCAGAGTGCAGTACACTGAATCGCCTACTCCCATCTCCACAAAGTGCAAGGCAAGGCATCCCACAGAAAAACACCACCATTATGTATTTTCTAGTAGCTGAATTAAAAATCTTCTCAAGCTGGCCATTTCAACCACCTTTTCAACCAGGTTATCTGCAATATCACTGTAATTCCCCATTAGTCACTGTTGGACCTGCTGATGAAAACTGACCTGGGACAATTTGCAACTCCTGTGCTCTGTATGTAAATAAAAATGAAAATTTATTTACAATTCAGACCTGCTACAAGGAGTTCCATAAATTAATATAACAGGCCAAGCTCTGCAGTATTTAAATGGCTCAGAATCAGACACTGAATTTGTCTTGGTGTACCCAAATATTAGATTTTGCAGTAGGTTATCAGATTCACAGGAAAAGTGCATGTTGCAAGATTGTGCCTACTTATAACTGGTATGAGATAAACCCCCTATTTTTCAGGAAATTAGGTGGTACTGACTCTACAAGAAAGTAATTCTTCAAGTAAACATGACCCTACGGAAACAATAATTATAGAAGAGATTTGAAAGAAAGTTTTCTCTTCAGTTGTTTGACTTCTGTTAGAGTTGTACGAACACCCTTGGATGATGTGCACTAAAGCCTGTGGGGAAATTCTGTTTCTTTTATCTGGTTCCTTCTGCGGCTTCATTAACTTATCTGGAGTTCAGGGGATACGGTTAGGTTCAGAACGTAAGCCAGGAGTTTTACTGCTGATACTTCCATCAGGAAAGGGTCAAGTGAGTGGGCAACTTTTATAGGACTCCAGAAACAAGTTTGAAACAGGTGGGCTGATTTAGGCATGGTCAACATGTGACATAAAGGCTGCTCATACATCACCTTCCTTCGTGAACCAAATTCACAGAAACAAACTGCACAATCTTTTCAGCCCTGTCCCAGTCCCTGCTCTGAGAACACCAATATTTGGATGCAGAAATGCCCCTTATATTGTCTCAGAGAAAATTGTCCAGGCTCTTTCTGGAGAATGAAACTGGATTTTGAAAACTTCCTTTACAAAAAAAATATTAAATGAAAGAAAAGGGCTTTCTACTACAAATGAAGTGTGATTCATATCTGAAATAACATGGCAGTAGGCTGTCTTGATATAAAAACAGGATAAAGTCAACACCTCTTCCAAATTCTCTCTGATTAATTTTGTATTACAGATGATGCAGAATTATCTGTCAAAATCCACAGCTTGATTTTTCCAGTCAAACCAAGTCTCTCTCAGTGGGCTCATCCCTCCTTGTGCTTCTCTCTGATGGTTTAATTCCTTTGCAGCAGAAACCCATTGGGTTGTCCACTAATGCAGAATCATAGGCAGGTCCCAAGCAAGGGAATGAAGGTAGCTTGTGACCGATTTCCCTAGGAATGAGATGTGTCCATAGGTATGTCCATGGTGAGGAATGTCCATTCCTCACTTCCTCTTCTTTGCCCTCACAGTCCTACCTACAAAACCTGTTGCAGAGATCTGAGGCTAAAGGGATTAAGTTCACAGAGGCCAACAGGACATCCAGTGAAGAGGTCTTGCCACCTCACAAAGTTGCTGCTCCATGTCCCCCTCACCTTCCTGTAGGCCTGGGGAAGCATGGGAGTGATTCCAGGAATAAAATTTCCATGCAACTGAAGTCAAATGGAAATTTATTGACTGTAATGGGGACAGGATTTCAATCCACATTGTCGTCTAAAAATAAGGTCTGGCAGTAGGAACAGTGACTTAAATGACAGCAACAATATAGAAACAGTACAGGAAAGATTAAAACTCAAGTACAAACCAACTTTAGCACTGACCTCACAACTGGAAGAAAATAAATGTGAATTTTTAATTGATTGGTTAAAGAGTGAAATCACTTTTGCTAAAAAAAAAAAAAAAAACCAAAACTCCACCACTTTGACAATAGCCCAGTAATTTATTTAAGGACTTGCTATATGGCTGTCAAAATTGCATCACTTTCAGGACAGAACATCTGTTGTTAGTAGATGGGCTAGGAATGCCAAATATAATCTAAAATTATTTTCCAAATGCAATTCACGTTTTATATCCCATGAGAAGTGCTCTTCACCTTTATGAGCTTTTGTCTTGGCTCAGAAAAATTGAGCTGGTTTATGTTGTTTGATTTTGTTTGGAGTTTTTTTGTGGGGGGAAGAGCTGTTTTCCTTTTTTTAAGAAGAGTGGAGAGAACATGCCTGAATATGCTTTTCAAAGAGAATGATAAGATTTTACTTGGAAGTGTTCTAAGTATTTTTGTGTTTTTACTGTATTACCATTTTATCCATAGATTGTCAACACCCTCCAGTCTTTAATCCAACAAAAGCATCTCATATATTAACAAAACTGATTTGGATGTATTTTTCTGAATATTTTTTTCTTCTACTTTTGGAGCCCTGAGAATCTAAACATAAACCCTCTCATTTTTAATTTACCTCTTTGGTTTGCAACATTGCTTTGTAGGGCACTGAGGCACTGTCAAAGACAGCAAATCAATGCCACTGGGTTTCAGTTGTACTCTTCTGGGTGTAAATTGAATAACAAGCATAGACCAAGTAGCTAAAGGTAGAGTTCCCAATGGAAATGCTTCTTCATGAGTCCAGGGATGGTAAGTTGTATGGTAGCTGATGTGCTGGGTACCACAACCTTCAAAATGCAATTGCAGAATTTCTCACAGACAGTTTTACCCATAGAGGCCGGGACACTGCATCAACATGTACACACGTAAAGTGTTGCCATTTCCAATATCCAGCAAACACTAATTGGCACTTGAAAAGGAACCTTTTTTAACTGAAAAGTATTTAGGCTGGCAACCTGATTATGTAGTACACCCTCTTCATATGTGTGTACTATACAGAAATAGAAATATCAATAAAATTTTTTGCAAAAACCTGGGATAATTTCCAAAAGTGTAAGTCAATATAAATTGTGGTAATTTACTCCTAGATAAGGGTAAAAGCAACAGTGAGATCAGAGTAACACTTATGGCTTTTTGTCTTGAGGAAGTTTTGGCCGCAGTGCATATACTCATCATCTGCAGAGGGATGACACTCACTGCAAAATTAATTTTGTTTTTAGTGAGATTTTATTCACACAATTCTTAACAGAGCATTTCTGCTGCAGGAGATGTGGTTTTTTTACTAACCACCTACTTACTGGCCAGAGGATTTATGTATTATTCTGTAATCAAATGTCCTTGCATATAATCTCTAGATTATCACATGACAACTTCTTTTTCTTTATTTTATCTTTTTAAGAGAAAACTAAGCAGTGAATTAAATAAGCTCTGAAGTAACTTTTTATCATAGTTTAAGGACAAAAAATACAGTTTGCTGTATTTTACCTTTAGCAACATTTAAACAATCTTTTTCTTTTTAATTGTACCTTCAGAAACATGAGGAAAGATTTGGTTTAAAAATAAGGAAGGTAAAAA